TGGCTGGCGCCTTAGCCGGTTGAGCTATAGGCGCCGAGCCAGCTTGTTAATATCTTACTGATGACTTAAACCTCTCAGTCACGGGAACACTGGTCTGTGTTCTCCTCTTCTGTGTTGTCTCTGTCTGGTTTTACCATCAGAGGGATGCTCACACCACAGGCTGAGAGAGAAAGCATTCCTTCCATTTTCTGGAAGAGACTGTGGACTTGCTGTTCTTTCCTTCTTTATGTGTTCGGGAGAATTGTGCAGTAAAACCATTTAGGCCTAAAGATTTCCCCTGCAAGGTTACCTTTAATGTAGATTTATATTTCAAAACATTTTTTTACATTTTAGAAATAAGATCTTAGTCTGAGAAGACTTTTCACCCAAGCAGCTATCACATGGTCCTGGAGCCTCACTACTCTGCCTAGCAACCGCGCCAGCACTCCCCTACAAAGCTCCCCCCACCCGCCCCTCCCAGCACCCCACGCCCACATCTCCTCCGGGGCTACCTATAAATGGCCTGCTTGTCGGCATCCATCGGTGTCTGAGACTCCACAGGGGGAGGGCTCACTCCTTCGGCGTCAGGCTCAGAGCAGTGTGGATCTTGCTCTGTTTTTAACTCTGTTACTACTTGCATCTGTAAGAGGAGGAGGAAAAGTTTTGTTACCAAACACAAAATAAATGGCTAAGTGTCTACTCTCCATCAGGAATGCAATCAAGATGGCAAACTGCCAGACAGCTCTACGATTGGTAATGACACAGAAGGAATGTCACCAACAAATTCCCTCGAATTAAAATGCTTTAAACATAAAGCTTAAACTCCAAAACTGTTTTAAGAACTGAGATGACCAATATCTCTCAAGTCCTCATGATTTTAAAAATCACAGTAACTGTACAGCACTGAAGGGAATTCTTGCTATATATCCTCACTTTTAATAATATTATGTGGCCAGGAGTGATGGCTCACACCAATAATCCCAGCACTCAGGGAAGCAGGAGGATTTCTTGAGGCCAGGAGTTCAGGGTAAGCCTGGGCAACAAAGCAAGACCTTGTCTCAATCAAAAAGTAAAACAACACAAGAAAATTACAGTAAATAAGAATAATATGAAGTATAAAGAAATAATCCAAGTTTTTACCTTGTCATAAAAACAACTCAAACCCAATAAGCTAGGGATCTGTGACAGCACTGAAATTCTCTCACATATACCTCGAATCTCGAGAATATTAAGCTACAAAAATGTTAAGAAATGTCACTGAATTCAGAAAATAAAGACCAGATGTGTTTACTAAAGTCTTGTTTCATTTAAATTGCTTTAAACAAGTTATGTGTTTGTCACTTAGGTAAAAAAGTATTTAAATCCTTAAGCTAAGAATTCAGTTTATGAAAAAATATTGCTGCAGTAAACTTTCAATTATCCCTGAGCAGCAGATTAAATTGTCCTGACCTCAGCCTCTTCAGGCCCAAGATGGGTGTGTCTCACCCCCCAGGAAGCAGTGGGGGAGGAGGCCGGTCTGAGCCCAGCGCCCTCTTCACTCTGGCAAGAGGGTGCAGCACACCTGGGAACTGTTTTTCTCCTTCTCTTAAGACAGAAAAGCAACCAAACCCCATGCGAACACAGTATTTCTGGAGGAGAATATGACAGGGTGTATAAGAAGCCTTAAAAGATTTATTTCACTGTTTTTTAAACAATTATGAAAAAAGAGAAAACTAAAAATTTGACCTTAGACTCAGAGCCTATATATAGCTAGGTGAGTAGGCTCCAGCCACATACACCGAAGGTGGTGGGTTCAAGCCTGGCCCAGGCCAGCTAAACAACAACAACAACTGCAACAACAAAATAGCCAGGCATTGTGGTGGGTGCCTGTGGTCCCAGCTACTTTGGAGGCTGAGGCAAGAGAATCACTTAAGCCCAAGAGTCTGAGGTTGCTGTGAGCTGTAGCACTACGGCACTCTACCAAGGGGGACACAGTGAGACTCCAACTCAAAAAAAATATATATCACTTGGAAATCCCAAGGACTACCAGGCTAGGAAAGCAAGCTAACACTACTGCACACAACTTTCCTTCCTCAAAAATTCCAACAAAACCAAACAAAATCTCTGCAAAAGAGCCAACCATGGAAGCATGCGAACCAGCCACAAAGGACAGAGGCCATCACCCTCTGCAGGCCATCACCCTCTGCAGACCATCACCCTCTGCAGACACGCTGGGCGGTGCAGGGAGCCACCCTGCCCTGCCAGCCATGAGGGGAAAACCACCAATGGGCAGGGCTGACTCTGCTCCCAGGGAGAACAGGCTAAAACCCTCTTGCCCACTCTGAGCGTCTCCTCCCTCCCTCATCCCCTCCGTTCCTTCCGGTCATAGATCTAACACCCAGATGTTCAAGAACACAAATTCTGTAGTTTCCAGAAAATCAGGGTCTCATCTCCAGTGGGAGAACAGTGATGACTGCCCACCAGTGGGTGGCCATCCCAGCATGCACGCAGTAAAAGGGCAGTGTCAGAACTCTGCAAATGTATTCCTAGGACAGCCTCCTTCATGCTAATAACTGGGACACGAAACCACAGAATTCCTGCCAGAAAGTTCACCAAGTAAGACATTCAGATTGGCCACTGGTCAATGGGGCAATCTATGATCAACAAAGCCCATCAGCTACTCTTTGAAAGCGACAACACAAATACTGATGTAAAAAGATAAATTCCCAAGAAACTATCACATGATTGGGAGAGGTCAAAATTATCTGCAATCTTGGTATCAATTAAGGAAATAATACAGGAATTCTACAGCGGATCTTCCTGAACACTAGCACAGAGTAGAACCAGACGTGCCCCCAGGGGAGTGGCGGACACACAGAGCACTGTCCGTCCCTGTGCAGACAGGGCTGACTGGGAGGAGCGCGCGGGAAAGGTCAAGTCTCACTTGCTGCCCGTCTGGGTAGCTGTCTATGCTCAGCGTCTGTGTGGCCATCATGGTTACTGAACGTCTGACGAGGCCTCAGATCATCCTGAGTGGAAGCACATGGACTCTGGGGAGACAAAAAGGGAAGAGTCAGTGAGGGGCGCAGAGCACGGGGCTCCACTTGTTCCACAGCACCTACATGATTTTTTAAAAAATACATATTTTCCCTCAATGAATCCCCAACAATAAATTAAAAAAAAAAATACATATTTTGGCTCAGCACCCATAGCTCAGTGGTTAGGGCGCTGGCCACATACACTGAAGCTGGCCAGTTGGAGCCCAGCCTGGGCCTATTGAACAACAACGACAACTGCAACCAAAGACAGCCGGGCTTTGTGGCAGGCACCAGTAGTCCTGGCTACTGGGGAGGCTAAGGCAAGAGAATCGCTTGAGCCCAGGAGTTTGAGGTTGCTGTGAGCTGTGGTGCCATGGCACTCTACCCAGGGTGACACAGTGAGACTCTTGTCTCAAAGGGAAAAAAAATAATACTCATTTTTACATGGAGAAAAAGAATCATCCTCATTAGTGTGTGAGAAGCCAGCACCTGCCAGCAGCACTCGGCTTCCTCAGCAAACTTGCCCCACTGTGCTGGGCGACTCACTGCATGTTTTTGGCCCCTGCCCTGCTCACATCCTGAGTGCACAGCTCTCATGGGTTCACACGTGCACACTCACTCTCCCTTTCGAGAGTGGGCAGGACAGCCCACATTCAGGCACCCTAAGCACTCAGTCTCATCATTTTGGGATTTCTCCTCTGGGGTGAACATCTGGTCTTCATCCCATCACCCTGCGGAGTGCTGGGGGGAAGGAAGAGCTGACATACAGCCCTGCATCCCGTCAGAATGCACACACACCACAGCCACGAATGCACTCACTGGTACATGTGCACACGTGAGCCACGCATGTCTGCCCTGCCCTGGAAGTAGACGCCAGGCTGTGCTGTAGAGGAAAGCACTAGGGGGAGGAGCAGCGCTGCTGTGCTCCTGCACAGCTCCCAACACAGGGAGCACTCGGCTCCGGAATCACCCTTCCTGCCAGTGACAGCAGGCTCCTCACTTCACAGGCAGTGAGTCAAGACACGCCCCACCGACAGAACTCCCTGGCCGGACACCCACCAAGAGCTACACCACAAAAATCAAGTGACTTTGAGCTGTAAAAAGCAAACCTCCTTGGGTTCCAGGTTCTGTTTTTTTGCTGTTGTTCTTTTTAGTTAAAGGTTAAACATGCAGAAGGCTTTTTAAGATAAGGAAAACTGTTCTGGTTTGAAAAAGCATAAATATGTGGTACATACTGAGAGCGAGGGTTCTTGGTGCCAGAGGAGAGGTGACACAGACGGAGGAGGAGGCTAGAACACACCCTATGCTGCAGGGATAGGAACAGAGGTGTCCACGTGAGTTCAGGGCTTTTAACAAAGAGAAAAATAGAAATAGACACGGCCGGGGATGGCGGCTTATGCTTGTAATCCCAGCACTATGGGCGGCGCAGGTAGAAGGAATGCTTGAGTCCAGAAGTTCAAGACCAGCCTAGATAATAGATCAATACTCTACAAAAAATTTTAAAAAATTAGCTAGGTGTGGTGGCAGCATCTATAGTCCCAGGTCCTAGGGAGGCTATGGCAGGAAGATCGCTTGAGCCCAGGAGTTTGAGGTTGCTGTGAGCTATAATGCCACTGCACTCCAGCAGGGGAAACAGAGTGAGACTCACTCAAAAAAAAAATTGTTTTGGGCAGCACCCCTGGCTCAGTGGGTGGGGCGCCAGCCCCATATACTGAGGGTGTAAATCTAGCCCCGGCCAAACTGCAACCAAAAAAAAAAAAAAAAAAAAGAAAAAATTATTTTAAAATAAATAAAAGCTCCATCCAGACTAATAAAAATGAAGATGACACAACTTTCATGTACAGAAGTATTAAAGCTTACTAGCAATTGAAGAAATAAGAATTTTAAAATAATCTATCCTTTTCCATCTAGCAAGTATTAAAACAACAGTAGTTCACTTTGCCAGCAGAATGAAGTCGACCTGGACTGCGGCAGGTAGAGTCAGCCCCATGAGGCACAAATGGTACGGCACACACTGACTTGGAAAGCAGTCTGACCATATGTACCTTGGGCATAAAAAATGTTACACTTGTCTCAAAATCAACCTAAGAATATAGCTTTAGTGTTGTGACTTTACAGGGAGACAAAAATATGAAATATAGGCAGAATCTAACAGGCTGGCATTTTAATATTTTTAAGCATTCCAGCCTGGATGACTGGAGGAACAGGAACACTTTTTGGAAGAGGATGTGACATTAACGGATTAGTTGAATCCTGCAGGTGGTGACGTCTTCCCTGTGCTCAGATCAGAAGAACCAATCTGGAAGGGAAGCCACAATGCATCCCACGAGGCTGGGCAGGACACAGTGATGGGCACACCTGCCCTGGGGCCTGGGGAGGGCCCTGCCTACCTCAGAGGATGTACTCACTACCTCTGTGGGGCCTTTAAGCCCCATCAACTAGTTACATCTTGACATTCTGTGTTTAGCTCCAGAACCATCTATGTATTTGGCATTACAGGCATTTGAAATATTTAAGAAAATTTGGCAAGTTATTCTTAGATTCTGGCCTTGATTCCAATATAAAATGTATAACTGTGTTACTAGTTTTAAACACTACTTTTTTTTTTTTTTTGAGACAGAGTTTTACTTTATCACCCTTAATAGAGTGCTGTGGTGTCACAGCTCACAGTAACCTCCAACTCCTAGGCTTAGGTGATTCTCTTGCCTCAGCCTCCCGAGTAGCTGAGACTACAGGCACGTGCCAGAATGCTTGGCTACCTTTTTTCTTTTTCTTTTTTTTTTTTTTGTGGATTTTGGCTGGGGCTGGGTTTGAACCTGCCACCTCTAGCATATGGGGACAGCGCCCTACTCCTTTGAACCACAGGTGCTGCCCTATTTTTTTGTTGTTGTTGCAATTATCATTGTTGTTTAGGTGGGCTGGGCCGGGCTCAAACCCGCCACCCTTGGCATATGGGGCCGGTGCCCTATGCACTGAACCACAGGCACTGCCCTAAACATGACTTTTTTAGTTATAAAGTAAAACAGAGAAATTAACTCAGACTGTAAACGGGTCCTCGTTTAATCAGGTTTATGAACTGCCAGAGCCTCTCCTTGGCACTGGGAACACTGCAGGGAGCAGAACCAGGTCCTAGCCCCACGTCCTGCCACACCTCTGAGAGCAAAGTCTGAGCACCTGAGATCTGCTCTGTGTGTAATTTTAAATTGTGTGCAAGGGAATTTGCATCGCAAATGGAACATATTACTAAAAATGATATATTTGGTCTGATCAACTTAAGTTATCCAAAGGTTGTCCTAAAGGTAAAAGTTAAAACTCACTAAATTTACAAAGAGAAGAATAAAATTCATGAATTCAACATGAAAGTGAAGAGAAAAACCAGGTCTTTAACTTTGTAGCATTAATAAGTGTTGGTTAACCTGGATGGAGTTGAACACATTTTTCTTAGTAAAGTACTGCAAGAATGGAGAAGCAAGAATCTGATGTGCTGTATCAACAGCCGTAACTCAGGGGTTAGGGCGCTGGCCACATACACTGACGCGGGTGGGTTCGAACCTAGCCTGGGCCTGCTAAACAACAATGACAACTATAACAAAAAATAGCCGGGCATTGTGGCAGATGCTTGTAGTCCCCGCTACTTGGGAGGCTGAGGCAGAAGAATCACATAAGCCTAAGAGTTAGAGATTTCTGTGAGCTCTGACACCACAGCGCCTACCAAGGGCAACATAGTGAGACTGTCTCAAAAAAGAAAAAAAATCTGATGTACTCAATACTAATATGAAGCCAGCAGACGATCTAATGCACACCCACGTAAGAGAAAAACTCAAATCAATTCAAGGTGGGGGGTGGGGAATGAGGGAGAGGGTTGGGTGTGCTCCCAGTTAATGGGCATGTTGGGGTGGATGGCACAGCCTTTTTGGGGTGGGACACAATTATGAGATGGACTTAACCTAACAAATGCTAACACTATAACCTAATCTTTGTACCCTCAATTAACCTGAAACAATTAAAAAAATAAAAATAAAAATAAAAAAAGAAAATTTACAAAAAAATGAAAAATAAATGTTGGGGTTTTGTTTAGTTGTTTTTTGGAAACAGAGTTTCACTTTGTTGCCCTTGGTAGAGGGCTGTGGCTTCACAGCTCACATCAACCTCCAACTCCGGGGCTTAGGCGATTCTCTTGCCTCAGCCTCCCGAGTAGCTGGGACCACAGGCGCCCGACACAATGCCCACAATAGCCACAATGCGGCTATTTTTTTGTTGCAGTTTGGCTGGGGCTGGGTTTAAACCTGCCACCCTTGGTATATGGGGCCAGCGCCCCACCCACTGAACCACAGGGGCTGCCCATAAATGTTGCTTTTAAAGTAAAGTCAAGCATTCATTTCTGTGTTCAAAAGCCTCCTTTCAAAGGGCATTAAAAACTCATGGCAAGAAAGCTAGATGGTAAAGACGCCTTTGATCCTCAATAATACAAAGTGGAATGAATGGAAGCCACACGTGCTTCCACAGAGGAATGGGGCGTCAGTTGCAATCTCCCATTACTCAATCTTCAGACAGGAAGCAGCAAGGAGAAGCGCTCTCAGCAAGCTGCCGAGGGAAACCGCAGGCTCCCAGCTCCGATTAACTGAGTGTTTGTTCATTCCACAAGTATCTACTGAAGGTCCTCTCTGGGCCTGGCTCTGTTTCATGGGTGGGGAAGAGAGCACCAAGCACAGCAAAGGGCCTGTGGTCAACAAACAATTTTCCAACAACTTGTAAAACATCTTTATGGACCTATGTGGGCAGAAGCGCCACCTCATAGGCATCCCCTTCAAGAGCCCAGGGCTTCATTTTCTCAGATCCTGGCCTCTGTCTTCTTGGCAGGTGATTCTCAGTTAAATCATTTTCCATTTTAGGGTTTTCCCTCCTATTTTTACAACTATCTATTACAATTACACTTTCTGGTGGGCTGCTGCTAAAGCAAATGTCACTGGCTTGTGCAAACGGACCTTGTGTCTGGCAACTCTGCAGAC